GTCAAGACAACCTGGATGTTTGCCGACTTTCTGGCAGTCATACGAACTTGTTTGAATTTTTTGGCCGAGCAATGTCTTATTTTCCAACTATGTAAACAGCACGGCGTTTAGTGGTTCATGAAGGTTTTCTTTGAATTAGATAACTGTTCTTCTCGGTGAATTCATTTCTATAACGAGAGGACCTGGTTGTAGGCCAGGTCACACTATAGTCACACTTTGCTTCGTAAGGAATCTATTGAAATGAAATAAGCCTGCTAAACGACTGAGGTAACATAGCAACCAAACTTGCTGACAGCTGATCAAGATCATACACTATATTATTTTAAACTAAAACAGTTTTGGCGGCTTTTCTCGGCCTCAAGCGTGACTTATAATGGCGCCTGATTGCTTTTCATGCCACAACAATTTTGATTGCTCCAAAGAAATCATTTGAAAAACATTTAGCAGCCGCTTCGATCGCTTTCGGGCAATTGTCAAAGGACAAAGGAATAAATGACTTAATTGCTAGCAAAAATAATGCCAGAAATAACTAGGATATTAAAACAGGGTGTTTTATGCTCAAGTGATAATCTTGTCGACATGGTATGTTTGTCGAAAAGAGTTTATTTCGAGAGTTTGATCTGTATTGTTCCATGTCGCAACAAAATTAAGCATTCTTCGACGTTATACAAATGTAGTATTGAGGATGTATATTCTGTTAAGAACATTTTCTATAAGTGATATTTCATTTCTGACTGTGTAATATGGTGTTGTTAGACCGCCCATTAGTGCGGTCAACAACCTAATTTATTTCTTGTTAACGCTTTACCCAACCGTGAAATATATTGCAAGTTGGATAGTTGTTTGCACTACAGCTTATTGTTCCAACGCGGTTTCATAACATCTCGCTTGGTCACTTACGCGAAATAATAACTTAATTATAGCTTACACATAAACATGTTTTGACCAACATCAAGGAAATGAAACTGCTGTTCCTTGAAATCATTCCGAATTGTGGAATAATTCGAGACTAGACAGGCGAGTGAAGCACTGACTATGCCAGTAAACCGCGACAGATTCCGTCTATATATTCTCTTTTTTTGACTTCAGTTGTATTGTTCGTTATAATTAATCCAAACTATTAAACAGAGCAACTTTTCCTTTCGCGTGCCTGTCATTCGGCTCTCTTTGTTTTGAGCTTGAATATAAAAAAGTTTATTTAAAATTTTAAAGTGACCCTTTAGATTTTTCAGTCAATAAAAACGTAGATTTGGTGGACCGTGTTTACACAAGGCTAGACTTGTTATTAGTTTCCACCACGGGAGCGAAACTGCATTTTAATTAGCGAAGGGTACTATCTGGTAAAAACTGAACAAATTTCCTTTGCGAAGATACTCTAGAGATCTGTTTCCTTTAAAGAACTTAAGTAAGAAAGCAGTTTTTTGTCTATTTTGTTCACCTCAACCCAGCAATTCATGAAGGAGTCATTTTCAAAATCATCCTTTGTCAACAACTGAGTTTTTAAATTCTCTTTTGAATGCAGTTTGTTCGAGTCAAGCTCTTTACCATATATATTAGCATCGCGGTGTGCTGTAGTCTCTTTTAAAGTCTTTTGGTTTTGTGCTTGTGTCTTCAGCTCCGCATGTTCATCTGAAAAAGAAGCACTTTCATCTCCGTCATATTCAGAGCTCATCCCGTTATTTAACAATAATTGCTCTTCTTCTTCCTTCCGAGTGTGTTCAGGTGGCTGCTGAAAACGAGAATAATCCGCTTTTGTAGGAATATGGGTAATATTTCGCTGTTCGTCCTCACCGTTACATTTTGACGAGCCGTGCGAAAGCGTACTAGACTTTGTATTGTTTTTAGACAGTGTCGAGTAGCCATTGGGAACAGCTGTTCGATCTTTCATTTCTTGATCGTCATTTTTCTTCCACTTGGGCATTGTCTTCCTTTTCACTGAAGAAGCGACATCATCAGGGCTCGACTTCCGACTCCTTTTTTCAGTCTCGGAACTAGAGTTCTCTGAATCGTTGGCACGTTTATAAACTGCTAATCTGAACTTCCCTGTTCGAATTCTATTGATTGCTTTAGGAGAAGATTTGTAAACATCCGTGTCCGTTTTATGACACTCGCAGTTAAAGAAACTTTTAAACACTTTCTTAAACTCTTTATTTAGCGTTCCGTATGCGATGGGATTCAGCGCGCTATTCGCCATTGGAAAAACGTTTGCAAATCGAAGAACATATATGAAGTACTTCGACCCTGCCAAGTTGCCATAGGTAAACCATAAGAAAACAATGTGTTGTGGAAGCATACAAACTGCGTACAGTATTACAAGAGCGATAAGCATGTTGGTTATTTTTGACGTCTGTTTCATCCTTTGCCGGACGGCAGCCGCAATGACTTGAGAACTCTTCGGAAGCATTTGCATGGCATTGTTCTGTCGAATCTTAACCGCGATTAGTACAGCTAAAACCACTATGATTGCCAGGGGCAGAACGTATTGGATCACAAAAATAAAATTCCAATAAATCTTGGCGTATATAGGTTCTGGCCATTCCTCGTCGCAGTAAACTTTCCCGGGTGCAGGTCTTTGCTCCCCAGCGACAAAAATCAAGGGAGAGCAGATTAATAGGGAAGTGATCCAGATGATTGCCAAAATGATCTTGACCTTTTTGCCGCTTAGTCGTGGTTTCATGGGAAAAGCGATGGCTCTGTATCTATCGCTTGTTATTGCCAGAAGCGTGCCGATGGATGCAGATAAGCACAGTGGAACAAGGATATAAGTAAAATGGCACATAAAGTCTCCTGTCGCCCAATTGTGATCATTCTCAAAAGCGGCCATTTGCGTCGGAAGGAAGATCAGGACGTTGAGCAAATCACAAAGAGCGAGATTGAACGTGAAAATGTTATTGCTTGTCCGCATTCGTTTGCGTCGAATGACTGCCACACAGACCACAGAGTTGCCGATAACTCCTACAATAAAAACGATGATAAATATCAAACGAAGAGTCCATCGCATTGGCGCAGGCTCGATAAAGTTACCACTCTCGGTCGGTGAGACCGGGCCAGTGACATTCTTGTCCATCACACTGACGGCTGTAGCGCTCGTCGTTTGAAGAACTCAGTATCACTCCATTTGCTGTAGTTTATGCTCTTGTGGTCAAAAAGCTGTAGGCTTTGGCCAGCAGAGATGACCCGTGAAATTATGGCAGTAATTTGAAGAGTCGTATTCTTGTGAAGTTGTACGGTGTTATTAAGTGGGATGTCGCTTTTCTGCCAGTTCTTGCCACAGAACAGTTTCTATTGGTAGCCCTCCCAGCATTGGTTACCTGTAATTAAAGGAACTTTTTAAACTGATTTCTCGGCATAATGAAATTGTGGTAGACATGTTTGCCTTTATGCACAATTCGGAAAGCCGTGATATGTAAATGTCGAAGCCACTTGCGAATTTCAAAAAAAAATAAAAGAAAATGATAACTGTAATTAACAACTTCTGTAACAAACCCTTAGCTTGGCCTTGTTCCAAAGGTTTCGAGTTTTTATGCGAAAAACCCATTGACTATATATAACACTTTATATTCCTGCTATAGAAAACAGTTATCTGCAGACAAAACAAGGTATGAGCAAACATTGATTTCGTCTTGGCCTCTGAGCTCTACCAACTGTTTCTTTGTATACCTCACCAATAACATATTCGACGTTGTGAGAAGTCTTTTCCAAACATCCTAACAGATTAAAGGGTGCATTTGAGAACTTTGTTTGTTTATTCCTCCGGCAACGTACAACTCTCTTTGAGTTTTGTCTTGCGACGTAAGAATTTCGTATAATTTAAGGACCGTAGGAGATTTTAATTAAACCTCATAAATAAAGATTGATCTCTCTCTCAAACCAGTTGTGTCAGTCTAGAATTAATTGATTCGTGAACTTTGAACGACTTTCTTGCTCAGATTTTCATTTCCGACATGTACGATTGCTAACAAAAAATTGCTTCTAATTTTTTCCAA